TTGACCGTGGTAGGACGGATGCCTGCAGAAGACTCTACGGACTACGCAATGGACTTCTATAAATAATGTTATGGTTTTGGCTATGTTTTCGCTTTTGGGTACTCCACCTCGCACGCTTGTGAAAAGTTGTTTTCCCCCTAAACAACTTTCTTGAGCAGGGGGATATTGTAAGGAAAGGACTTAAAGACGCCGAGGAATGGCAAAACAAAATTGAAGAAGACGAGCGGAGGGCAGGTGGCACGAAGGCGACAACAAGAAATGAAGAAGAGAAGAAGGCACGTGCGATTACGAGGCAACTGTGCGCCAATCAGCTGATGACCAGTGGTGGCCCATAGAGGTGGCGTGCCACGATTGGGCCACGGGTGACCATCACGTGGCAATGGGCTTTGTGGCTGGGGACGAGCCGAAGCAGCGGCAGACAGCGGGCCGAAGCGTCGGACGCAGGCGAGCCAGGTTCCGGCCAGGGAACGCGGCCGTCCACGCTGCTGCCGTCCAACCACCAGCTGGGGCGGCATTCCCGGGACGAGTACTGCATCTCGAGGCGCGGCCTGACCTGCTGTTCTCTTCCTTGCCGAGGGCATCGCGGATCTCGGCGAGGCGTCTCCACGGTCAGCCGTTCGACACAGCGATGAACGTGGCCTGGCTAATGGTCACGGTTGCGTCGGGCATCGCGTCTCGGCGCGCGCTCTTCGCTGGACGGGCTGGCCATGCCCCGCATGGAGCATCGCGTCTCCGATGCGGGTTGACAGCTCCGTGGCCGCACCCATGCCATCAAGCGCCGGTGTCACCAGAGCGTCACGCATCGGCAAGGGACGAGCGAGACGTTCTGCCGGGCGAGACGCGGGAGTGCGCACAGAGGAGCACGGAACCGGGCGAGGTCCAGGGTGGCCGAGGATCCAGGTGCCAGGGAAGTTGCTGGCTGAATCTAGGATCGCCGAGCGGTGCCGAGTGATGCGCCAGACTCGGACGTGGGCCACGAGCTCATGAGCTGCAGTGTGCACCCGAGGGTACCTAGCGGTGCCCTGGCCAAGAAGAAAGAACGTGCGGAAAAGAGAGCTCGAGGGTTGAGGCCACGAAGGCAGAGGAAGCGGTGCGCCGCTCGAGAGGACGAGTTCCTGGCAGCGTTCCTGAGCCGGACGTGAGACCCGTACGTGTCGGCCAGGTCGAGCTCCGGTGTGTCTGTTCAAGGTCCAAGGCCGAGACCTGCCGAACGGCTCCTGCCTGGCTGCAGTGGCCGGGAGCAGGTTCGTGGGCGAGGCCTACCAGGTGTGGTCCTCGTGAGCCGTGGCCTGATCCTGGACCTCCGGAGTTGCGACCCTGACTGCTGGGTTGGCCGCGACGTCCGACTCAACGGCGCTGCACACGGTAGCGTATCCGTGCGCCATCAGCCGTTCCACCCATGCCATGAAATAAAAAGTGCATGTTAATCTTTTCTCGTCCACTATCAACAAACATGGTGACGAACGTCTGTTAACCATCACACCAGCACAGGTGTTGTCATGCGATGCCTGGAGAAGGTGCTACCAACAATGTCAAACGCTGTTATGTTGTGTAGTAGCCCAACGTTTCCTCTTACACCAGCTGCGTCTTCTAAAGGCTCTCTGTAGTTTTCGCCATCGCCAGACAACACCCGAACCCCATGCTTATCCGTCTGGTCAACACCCGAACCCCATGCTTATCCGTCGACTAGACGGAAGAGTTGCCTGAGCTGAAGCCACATGAACCGAAGGACGCAGAACTTTGCATGAGGAATGCTACGTTGGACATGCCATGGCTACGTTGTACTCCGATAGGCCCACAGCAACAAGAAGTTATTATAACTAACGATGTCTCGCATCAGCCTATTGACCTGTTCACCCAAAATGATGATGATTCAAGGCTCTGCAAAGGCGTTGAGCATTCCACCAACTTTTTGCCAGATGCATCACCATATGCAAGTCAACCATGTAGATGTGGCAAAAAGGATCGCAATTTCATGGAGCGCCAATGTCAAGTGTTTTATGCTCAAGGCATGGTCACCAAGACGGCACAGCTAGAACAAAGACTGTACCAGACAGCAAGCTAGCTGCTGCAGGCCAAGAAATTGAAAACAAACTGGACGCCAAGACAAATATCCACTCAGCGGCTTGGGAACTTGTCAGTTGTCTGGATGAGCTTCGACAGCGTCTCAGCCGAAAAACTGAGGCTTTCCGAGGTAAAAGACCTGCAGAACGGGAGCGCAAGAACAACAAACAAGCCACGAAGTCAGATGCTAAGCCAACCCAGAATAGGCAACACAAGCTCAGTCAAGAAAGCCTAGCCGCTGCGAGCAACACGAAAGTGGGAAAGGCACACAAAGTGCAGCTTCCATCTACCGTGACCGCTGTGTCGCCTATAGTAAGCTTCAATCGACTGACCCGTCAATAAGTACAGATGCGAGGCCTAAGGTTGAAAAGGAGGAGCAGGTTGGCCGTCAACCGGAGATGAAGGCGGAAAAGGTGAAGCACCTTAAGGAATGTGAAATGTGCCATGCGAAAGGGGCTCAGGAGACGCGAAAATGCCCCTTGGCTCTGTACAAGGAAGAACAAATCAAGGTCAGAGGTGACTATACTTTGAGGAAGGCGCCGCTGAAGTTGTGCGAGAAACGGCAACAGAAGAGGCGCAAGAAGTGGGATTCAAGCACTGAGAACGTCAGGCGACGTCAGAGTGTCACCAGAAACGTTGGGACAACATCAAGGCATGCTAACAGACAAAGCTTTAGACCATGATAAAGAGCCTCAAAAAGGAAAACCATATTGTTCCAGGACTCCCGGACCATTTAGATGTTTTGGTGACTGCAAGACTATGAGACACACACACGCACAAGTGTCACTGGAATAAAGCTGTTCTTGTGTGACATGGTGTGAGTGTGTTCGTTGTACTCAGTCGCCCCCTTTGCTGACACTACAGCATACCTCTTAAGCTTTACGGCTGCAATACGAAAAAAAACAAAAAAACAGATCATTTGTAATCAAGCATTCGTGCTCGTATGCATATGTGTTTGCACATTCAAACTTTCCAGACATGATTGATTGATTGATTTGTGGGTTTTAACGTCCCAAAACCACCATATGATTATGAGAGACGCCGCAGTGGGGGGCTCCGGAAATTTCGACCACCTGAGGTTCTTTAACGTGCACCCAAATCTGAGCACACGGGCCTACAACATTTCCGCCTCCATAAACCTTCCAGACATGTAAAATATACTTAGTGTGTTCATGTTTTCATACTCAGATATCATCTCACCTGAAATTTCAGAATTTTGATAATGATAATAATAATACACTTTTATTTTTCATCAAGATGATAAAGGAGGCTGAGACAAAAAGCTGAAAAGCAGCTTGATTGGCGAGTTGCACATACAAGTTGTTTCTTATACGAGATGTCCATCATAAGCAGGATACCTCGTATGCATTTTCGTATTTACCCGTACACTACTGTAGGCCCGCTGGTCTTTCTTCTATCAGTGTCCCTCATAAAGAGGTTTGACTGTAATATTAAAATTTTCGCTATCGCGTTCATTGCATTTAATTCATTCTGTGCACCATCCTGTTGTGAGAAATAAACAGCGAATCGCGAAAGGTACCAGCCTGTGGAACTCAGTGGGGGGGGCACAAAACAGAAGCACGTGATGAGTCAACCTTGAGGATTCTTCATCACCGTGGTCTCAGGAGAGTTTACATCAGCACCTAATCTGACATCCCCTCGGTGGTGAGGACACAGTTGTTCGAAATTAAGAAATGTCAAAACATCTTAAAAATTCGTATCTTTATGTATCTCGAAAATTGACAGTTTCACCGCAAGGGCGAAGCAATGAATGCGATAGCAACACCTTAGAATGTAACATTGAGAACGGCAAGCAGATCGAAGCGTGCAGTGCACTGTTTACACACAAATTACGTATAAAAACAACATACACAAGACAAAAGCGAACTAACAACATTTACCTCTCCACACTTAACGCGCTGTTTCAACAAAAACAAGGGACGAAATGTAATTACAGGTACAGATATCAGTGCAAACTAACAAGCCCCCGATTTGTTACTTCGCTGTGCTTGAATATCGCACTCTTTTCTCAAACGGTGCCTGTCCAGCGAGCAAAGTGATCTTTGTGCGCTTGCGTCAACTAAAAGCAATTGTTCAGGTCATAGTCGAAGGCGCGCGATTCTCCCCACCAAAGGATAAGTGCGCACGCACAAGCATCTACCTTTCCCCCCTTCGCTGGGCAAGGTATGCGTGGGAGATAAGCGCGCGTCGACGCATTTTGACGAGCTGGGTGCCAAGCACAGGTGCCTTTTTTTTTTTCTTTCTCGAGTTTTCATAAATATAGATACGTATGCAGTGAATGACGGCGGCGACGGCAAAAAACCAGCCGAGACTGTCCATACAATTGCCATCGCAATAAAAAAAAAGTAATGCTGAAGGTCGTCGGGGGCCTTACCATGCGCGCGCAGTGAAACTATACTATGCGCCAAACTATACCATGCGCCCCCACATATGTGACTGTCAACACGCAAAAATAGTTGTTTTGAAGTGGGGGGGGGGGGGGGAGAGGGGAGCAGCTGCATATGCGTCTGCGGTGGCGAAAACAGCGGCTCGCAGGCTGCAGGCCCCACTTCCCACCTCGCTCTCACCCGCACAAAGACGAGGGCTCACTCTAGCCTGGTGGGCTTTGTCAATGCCGGAACACCCGCGAAAGATGCATGCTCATACAAAAATGCTAGAATTCGGAACGAAATTCCTTGATTATCCGTGGGGGGAAATTCGTCATATCAAGGTTGTCTCCTGCTCTTACCTTGTTACATAGAGGTCCCAAATCCATGTGCATCTATGGAGCAACGGCAGGGAATAGAAAAACTTCTTTATATCAAGGAATTCATTATAAGCAGATTTAACTGTACTACAATGTGTACGAATCTCAACCGGCATGACATTAGTTTCATTTGCCCTAGAATAACCAGCTATGGCCACTGCCAACCAACCTCAGTGGTGTCATTCTTGCAGCGGGATGTCCCAGCGAAGTAGTTGGGTCGGGGGTTGCCACTCCCAATGGGGCACTGGTTTATGTCCAGCCGCTCAAAATCCAGCTCAAGCACAGCCACTGCCACATACCTGAAAATAGAGACAACAAAATCGGCTCCCGCTTGAGCCACTCAGGCATTACACGGCACCGATTCGCAGGCTTCAGCTGGCACCCTTCCCTGCGTGGCCTCCTATCGTAAGCACTTGGGTTCCCCATGCAACCTTCACGCGTAGCAGCGGAACTACGCGGAGTTAAAAAGCCTTGTGGAATACTTGGAAGGCAAGGCCAATGTTGCAGCATAGTCCAGTCCAATCCAATTATAGCAAGAAAGTGCCACGAAAACTACATTGTTAAAAATGATGATTTCTATAAATGTGCTGCACAAAAAAATAGCGGATGGCAGTCGTAAGAAAACTGTGATACCACATAGGGTCTGCCAACAGACATCCATGTAAAGGACGACAAAGCTGCTGATTTTTCGGACATGCCTGAAAATTAAGATGCTTTCGTGGGAACACCACGAATCCCATAGAGCCAATATATGTTGTTGTCAAAAGTTTGAGCCACAGAAAGTTTTGCAATTCTCATCTTCTAACTCCAATTGCATGTCGCAAAGTGCAAGCGACTGCTGCTTCCACGCCACCTGAAATTTCCAAAGTCAGCTTTGCTGCAGTGCCTCAACGCTATCAGGTGAAGCATACAAAGGGGCACTGGAGGACTTTTTGGATTCAGCAGCTTGAATTTCTCATTTTCATTTTTCCTTTCTAGGATTCCATTACCCTCCAACTGGGTCACCGAACAGCCACAAATCATTTTTACAGCCTAATAGGTGGCTTCCGGTCATTGCTGTAAAGGTGTTATTTCATCACTGAAAACAAAGTCCAGAGTGCAATAGAAGCCAGTCTGGCTTGGAAAATTTCTGAAAAAAAAAATAATAATGAGCACTGTCTAATTGTTGAAATATAACAGAAATGACGATTTGGGCCTGCTTCACAAAAATCTAAAAATGAAAGTGTTACTTCTGTTTCATTTCAACAATTGGTCGGTGCTCTCTATTTTCCTTCACTATTGAAAACATACTAAACTTGATGGTGTAGCAGCTTCTCATTGTTATAAGCGATGTATTGTTAATACCAGTATCATTACGAGCAGTCTCGACTGTTCATTCTGCTCACAAAAGAACACGCTCATGAGAACTACGTTGGGACTGTCCGCAACACAGGGAACTGCCAGCAAAGAGATCCTAGCCCGAATCGAGTTGCCCTATGTACCAACCGTTTTTGCAGAGTGACATTGAGCTTTCTCCAATGTCAACATTTGGTAATAGGTTGATCGTAGCGGCCACCAGGGCAGAGGTGGCTGATATTAAGTTGAGAGCAGCGTTTAGAGTGGCAAAATTTTTATTTTAGAGCAGAAGAACGGAGATTTGGAGCAACAAGATCTGTGGCTTGCGAGCTCTTGCTGCAAGCATTAATTAGTGCTCCAACAAATGCAATACATGCACCAAGATTAATTTGTTTTTGCTAAATAATTTATCGCCTCACTGATACGGACAATTTTCAGTTGCTGTTTGTGGGCACCAAATGGGCAGGGACATAGCAGTGTAGCTGACTTAGTCACGTGATCACAAATCTTTGAACACTTCATGCTCAGTATTGTCTGCTCTCACACAAATGTATCACAAAATCATCTGCAAAACGAACGCACCTCTAGCTGCAGTAGCAGCAATGCTTTCCCTATACGTATACGTGGCAGAAGTCGGGAAGTCATTAACTTCACTACAGATCTTGTGTGACGTCACTACGACTTTCGTTGCCCTTCGTACAGAGCCACGTCAGTGGTCAACACGTTCGCAATGGGCCTCGATTAGGAGAATGAACATTTAGGTTCACTTGAGAAGTTGCTTAAAATATATTCTCATTGTTTTCCTGGCCCAACAATTCACGTTGAGTGTCCTTGCATATATAGAGAGAACCCCCACAGTGCTTGCTACAGCCTTGAAATTTGATGGCACCACACCCTTAAGAGCATTGACTTGTGCACAATTGACACTTGCACCACGCTGCTCAACAACCAAGACAGTGGTTAATTTGCACTGATCCTGTGAATACTACACCTGTGCGCCGGTACCAAAATTGCCTGCAGCGGCGCGCCGGTGTTTTCATCTTTGGCAGCGGTGCATGACCGGCACGGGACTCATCGAATCGGCGGTGGCGCGGTGCAAAAGGAGGGGAGAGGGTTATACTCCAGAGTGAGGAGAAGAAAGGAGAGAGTCATTCCAAATGAGAAAAATGAAAAAAAATTTACCAATACCATAGAAATATGAACTGTCTCCTTGAGTAAAGCTCTGTATTGCTAGATTCTGCTTCGGTTCTGCGCAGCAAGCCGGTGGTGTTCCGTGGCTCTGGAGTATGACGGTGGAAGCCGCCTTTATTTTCCTGTACTGCCCCTTGCCCTTTTTGGTATAAATTTGATAAGGGCCGGGAAAGCTGCCATCGCCAGGATGGAAGCATTGGATATAGAGAAGTGCCTCGCGAGCTTTCCGCTACGAAAGGGAGCCTGCGCTGCCGCCAGGGGAAGGAGTGCATTGGACCCACCAATATCTGTACCTCAAGTTTCTTATAACGTCAATATCGTCCTAGTGATGTTACGAGCAGTTGTGAATACCTTTTGCCTTGACTAGCACACACATAGTACTGAAAAATAAGGTGGAAGGAAAGAGCGCCGGCATGCAGTAACATGTGACCGGGCGCTAAAGTGACAGAGAGTCGCTATAATCGAACGAATTTTGTTCAAAGGACCAGTAACGTCGGATATAGCTGCCCGGTGACAGATGAACAATATTGCAAGATTTCGCTTGAAGTGCTGCACTCAAAATGAGTGTAATGTTCGCACGTCCCCTTTCATGTATTTATCCGACTTTCAGCAAGAAGGTAGCTAGCTCATGCCCAAGCACATCCAATTGCTTTTATGCCACAGTGACCTCAAAGCAATAGTTACCGTGGTGACAAAGCAAATAAAAGAGGGTATGAAGGACAAAATAATTAGAAAGAGTCTTTTACGCGATCAACGTATATTACCAGGGTATAATGCACAATCTGCATACTGCTCAGTTGACTTCAGGAAGGCATCACTTTTTTTTTTTTTTTGGAGGTGTGATCGACACTTCCAACCAGGAAAAAGAAAGGACTGACCCAAGGTGAAGTGCGCCTTCTTGGTGATATAACGAAGGACGTTAACAAAGTTTTAAAACTGGGACCCAAGTTCACGTTTGAACCTAATGTTCCACCGGCGGAAAAAGTGGCTTTTTCAAGGAACACTTCCCGGTATGTGCCTGAAGGCGTGCAAATAAGGTGCGTTTTTGATTGTATAGATGTGTGCACTCAAACGTCATTGGCTAGGCGAAGGCTCTCCACTGACAAGTTGGTCGTAGAATTTTTGGAGGGGAATGGGCTTAGGGTTCGTTTGTCGGATAAGGAAGGAATGTTTATGGTCATGAAAAAGGGAGTTCTTAATAAAAAATCTGAGACAGCCGTATTGAAGAATTCAAAAAGAGTGGACGTTATAACAGGGAAGGTGACACAGCAGGCTATTGCTATGCTGCATGATAGGAATCCATACCTGCCAGGTTCGCAGCGCAGGCATTGGAGAGATGCAACCGAGTTGGGGATGGGTCACGGGGGATGAAATTTTTCACACGCTTTTTCTCAAGATTAAATTTTTATGGAGTTATCATGGCACAATAATGGTACAGTTTTTGTAAACCGCCAACAACCTACCTCGCTGTGGTCACCACCACCAAATCTTCGACGTGGCTGAAGCTACCTTTTTCGAGAAGTCCTTCAAGCACTGTCGGGCATAACAATGTTCACCACTGCCACTCCAACACTTTGCCAAAAGAATGTTTTTTTGCACGGAGAAACTGCACGTGGAGTCCATCCTTAGCGCCATGCTAGTCCAAGCTGTCACTCAAAGAACAGCCCAAGCTGTGTCACTCGCAGTTACATTACTGCCCAATTTTTGTTGTGGCAGATTTGGCCCTCTTCAAAAACTCCTCAGAATATACCTGTGAATAACACGGTTCGCGGCTATGACATTTGGCCTGAACTAGTTGCCCAAGTGTCTTGTCTGACACGAAAGTGCGGCACTCTGTTCGAGTCTTCCTCACAATGCTGAACTGCCGCTCGCATTCAGCATTGATGTGCCGTACTGAAAGGATTCCCAGCATTACTTGAGCAATGCGATTGAATTTCATAAGCCCATCTTCGCCTTTCAGCAGCGAGATTTTTCTCCACTGCACATCGGCCTGTTCCTCTTCCAGTATCTTTGTAGGAATCTTGAAAGACTGCAAACGGCAAGCCGGTGTGCCAGCGGTGTCAGTGCTATCACTCAGCGACATCAGCGTGGAAAATACAGCAGAATCCGACGCTAGCGCCACCACAGCTGCCTTGCGCCTCATAGCTCACAGAGCGGCGGCGCTGCATTCACATGCTCGGAGAAGTACTGGCCAGCTCGCTCGCTTTTGCGACGGCTCTGCTTGGTCGACTAGGCACATTCGAGCTCTTCAACGATGGCGATGACAATCAGCACTCCGCGCATGTGCATTCGTGCTAGGTTGCCAAACTAGAGCCCGCTTTGAGACAAACACGCGGGCACTTCCGGGAGATATCTACCTCGGTCGTACAATCGAACAAAGCGGTCGAAATTCAGGAGTCTCCCGGGCGAATCGGGGGACCTGGCAGGTATGGGAATCTGTCCGGTCTGGTCAATAGAGTAAAAAAAGGCAAAAGAATTAAACTTGCAGGTTTTTTTTTTCTCAGTGAAAACCCATAAACTTAATTCCCTGTTAAGAGCCATTACACATCAGAAAAAGAAACTTGGCTGTCTGAGATGTCGACTTTCTTGCAGATGCACCTGGAAGCCCTCAATGTAGTCTACCCTTTTGTAGCAAAGAATTCTGAAGGTGTAGTAGATTTTCTCAAAACTAATAACCCGGGTTCTTGCACCGCTTTCAGCAGCGACATTGAGGACATGTTTTACTTCTTACGGCATGTTGAACTTCTCCAGAGTATTAAAGCATGTGTGGTTG